CATGATACTGAAAGCAAACATTCATGAACAAGGAGACCTAGGAACGGTGTTGGTGGAAGTGAAAGGCTGTTGATGAAATACCTTTTTTTATCCCATCTCCAGGTGACTTCCAGCTGTAAACTTTTCTCTGATCTCCAGCGTTGCATGTGACGAAAAAGATAGTCAATCGGAATCAAAGGCTTCAGATTTGTTGAGGCGGGGCACCAAAAGTGGAGTAAATGCAACTAAACTGCCCTTGAGTGAAAAAGCCTGATAGCCAAACTACTTCTATACAGGCTGCCATCACCCTGGGAAGTCTCACAAACTCCTCCAATGTTGCCTGAGGCGTAAATTTCTTAACAAACTGTGGGCCTTCCTCCCCTGGGGAAGACAAACTACATGTACACTGATATTGGTTTTGAAGTGACCGCCTACATAAACAAGATTCTGGTTGGGATTCAAATTGGACTTCCCATTGTTGATAATGAAACTGCAACGTCCTATCAGAAAACGCAACGTGTTGACCTTTTCTTGAGCTATAAAACTTTGCTCTGAGCGCGTATAACTAATACAAGTAGTCTAAACAAGGGAACACACGGGCGTCTTTCATTCTCGATTTGGCCACCATTAGAGCAAGCCCGTGGAGATGACGTTAGGCCGAAGGTGAGAACCCGAAACTGGAACGAGCTACCCCTGACTTCGAACTGCCAAAACCTTCTGGGGCATTCTACGACTGGATTGTGCATGAAGGTATCTACTAGGTCTGGTGCACAGAGCCAATCCTCAGGTTTCAACGTCCTTTTTATAGATCCGAGAGCCTCCATTTTAAACTTCTGCTTTAGTTCATACACCTATTCAGAGGTTTTGGGTTTAGAATCGGTCTTAAACCTGAAGGTTTCTTTGCCACTTGACAGATGCTGAGTAAAACCCTTAACCCGAGGTTCCGGCTTAATGGCTGTCTTTTACATTAACAGCTCGTTAAGCTGGTCGCACAAAACAGACGGCCTTACTGATATCTTTGGGCCTACTGGTGTGTTCTTGACGCCTTTGAACTGAGACATATCCTGGAATTCCAAAAGGTGACAGAACTTCACAATGTCAAGAACCCACCGGTTGTTTGAGACGCCATACATCTACGCTTGATGAGACCCCCCCACTGGATGACTAAAAGAACCGGAAGGACCCGCATGGTCCTATTTTGACTTGAAGGTTGACAATCCTTTGTCAACGGGTACTTTGTCGAAAAGGCCTCTCTTCTGATGACCCCCTTGAAGGCTGGCTTTGGTACCACGAAAATATCCCCCATCATAACTAGGCTTTTCGGACGGCCCTGGGGACCATAAACCAATCCATCCCTCTAGACTCATTGGGCCGTGGTGGAAGCTGCCCCGGGCCATTAAGGTGAAAAGCAACAGCTGGACGGGGCCAGTGGTATGTATCGACCGCACTGCCGCTCAGACTGCAATGTGATGAGCGCAATGGTTGAATTACCGCACTGTGTACCACTGGCTCAGTGTGGAGAAGGGGAGGACCGCGGCTATGGTCCGTGGCAGGACCAGGGCGCGGCGGCGCGGGACACGAGGGTGTCTCGCCCGGCAAACGGTTGGGACGTAGCGGTGATGGGCGGCTACGATGCTACAACTCGCTCTGATACTACCCTGGGCTAGTTCACACCACACTTGCATCGGTCAAGCTGAGCTAGCTGGGCATCCACACTAATGGTTACTGCATTTCACCATAAGAACGCCTATTTCAGAATTACTGCACAAGTCTCATAAAGGGTCCAACCGCCGCACTAAGTAAGGCTTCGCTCCGCAAAACAAAAAAATTATACCCTCCTTTTCCACATTTCTCTTACCATTCATTCTCAGAATAACTCAGTCAAACTGTTGATTGGTTTGCCTGGTTGTTAAATGCTGACCATTTATTCACTTGAATAACCGAAGTTCTACTGCGATTGTAGTCAACGCATATTATACGTCACGCAGGCGGGTTTCCTACTATGCTGCCGGGGGCTTCTGGCCGTCCCCGCTTTCAGAGGTAAGTCAGTAGGTGGGGCTACGAGCGTAAGCGATAACATTGCAAATGTCGAAAATAACATTAATTTCTATCAAAATGAGGCTAAAAATGGTTGTTTTGGTATTAAATCAAAGCTCAGAAAATTATCATTTGAGATATGAAGATTTCAAGTAATTCTGATGATTTGTTGAGGAGATAATCTCGATGACGTTAGGCAACCGACTTTTTGTTTGGTACAAAGGGATATACCACAGCAATCCAAGTGAAGTGTTTCTGCCATTTAACATACCTTATCACACAAGATCATAGGCTCGCATGCAGGAAAAAGCGTGTATAGCGTGTGATGATGAATCGTCAATATTTTAATCAACAATTATTGTAAGCTCAAAGTACAATTAACTGGCAAAAGTGTGCAGTCATCACTGAAACATAATTACTTTAAATACATTCACAGGCACAGTAACCTAACTACCGTATATTTGACAATTTTTTTCAAGTGGGTGTCACATTTTATTCTGCTGGTATTTTTCATCTAGGTAAACTAAACGCAGCGTTGCTGTAGTTATTGACTTGTATTGATTAAAATTAAATATTGCTGAAGGTACCAAATGCTTTTCGGCATAGCAGTAATCGAAAGCCGGAGATTAAAAGAAAATAAAATGGGACAAATTTTTAGAAGTTTTTAAAAGAAACTGTGTAAATTTATCATTTTGTTTGAAAAAGAGTTCGCGGAGTTCAAGTTTGTGATTATTAGTATAATTTTCAGAACCGAAAATACTTACAGCCACAGGCGTTATTAGTTTGGTCTAATTATATAGTAATGGAACTGGACAAAGACATCATTCACGTGTCTTCTTCAAATGGGTAAGGAGGATTTTTCCTGGTACATCAATTTCGACCACAGTAACATTTGATTGCCTCCAAACTGCTTATAAAGACATGATCTTGCCACAGTTTGGCATACTGAGGCTCGGCGTGTACTGCTTCTTCTAGTGCAACCTTTGTTGTTAATACCGTTGGTTCAACAGCTTACAATCACCACCATCATCATGAATCGATTCATCGTTTTGCTGCTGCTCTGCGCCATTGCAGGTGAGTTGATAATTTACGTAGCCTCTATTGGTGTTCTCTCGTGGTTACGCGTTCATTAAAAGTATCTTACGGCTCTGTGTTAGCCTTTGAATGTTGGCCTTGCCCATCAAAGCTGCCTAATTGGTCCCTGAGCGAACTAGCGATGACGATGTCGTAAACCTTTCGAACTTCGTCAGCCTGCACTCACGCTATAGCTCATGCACCTCATCAAGGGCTGTGGGCCTTTCCGATCCTTGTGCGTACCCTCCGTGAACAAGCGATTATGCTACCAACGTGTCTGTTCGACATACAAACAATGCATACACAATCTGAGACTCAAATGCCGCGGTGAGCTGGTCACAGGACGGACAATCCCGCTCATTGGGTACAACTGGGTAGAACTGCAACTGCATAATCTCTTTTATGAATGTATGAAGAATCTAATTCTGTGGGCGAAATCGCTGAATTTTCTGAATTTTTTTCCTTTAATGTTTTGGTGTTGTCGAACTTCGGAACGTATTCTTGTCGCGCGCGGGGACCACAGGCTCCCTGGAATTCCGGGTCGTTCTGGCTATTTCTAGCAGCCCTTTCACCATGTGCGCCGTGCAGGTCGCCTCACGCCACTTTCAGGAACTAAAAGCAGACTGAGTTTGGATTACCAATTAAGACCTGAGATAATAATAAACACTCCACACCCAGCAAATAAGGGAAATTTTCTAATTTTTAAAATGTTATTTAGGTTTTGTGCGTTTGTAATGAAATAAATTAATTTGTAATATGTACCTCTGTCACTTCGTTTTCTTTAAATCTTAAATTCCGGTGGTTTTCTTTATAGTGCAACAAATCAGTGGCCACCCAGACGCGGCTGTCAAAGAGGGAGGGAGAGCGTAAGCAAAGTTATCTGTAGTTTGCTTAAAATAAATCTTCAAAAAGACATTTATACTGTCATTGGTCTGTTTGATAAGAAACAAAATTAGTCGGACTTAGATTGTAAATACCGTTTTTTGGCAATACAGCAAAAATCCCCCAAAGACTCATTTTATGTTAAGGCAATTTTTGTGTGCTTGTCCGCATCCCAACTACAACTCACCTTGTGACAATGTTCATGGTCCAATGTCAATGACTTGTTTCTGACCTAATTAATCAACATGCCAACGTGATATTTGACCTTCAACCTGACGAAATGTGGCCGTATTGTCATTGCTGATCGGCAAGAAAAATATCAAACCGTTAGAAATGCGTTCACTCCTCAGTATCTTTGTTATTAACTACAAAACCAACACTTCCAAATAAATATGGAATCGAATTTAACCTGACAATTTGGAATATGGAGAGCCAATTACTTCGATATTTGGGGTAATTTATTTTTCAATTGCGAGGTGTACTAAAGAGCGTGCCCCGGCGCTTTACATCAACTTTTCCGGAATTGTCAAGATGTTAGGCAGTTTTGTATTGTAATCCACTTAAACTTTCGCTTCTCTGATTACAAGAAAATACCTTGTGAGTTACACCTAAAGCATTCGATATTTTCATCTACCTTTCATGCCTTGGCAAACTGATTAATTTTTTTCAGTGGATTCAATTATGATTTATTTTAATAGGTTATTATCTGACCCTAAATTTCCTTTGGCTGCCCAACCCACCCACGTTTAAGAGGATGATTTCACTTCTTTGATTTAATAAATTCAGTCGAAATTCTGACATCACCTTTTGACTGGAGTGTAATGTAGCGTTTGAGGCATTCAGATGTCGTTGATCCAATTGATGCTGGTTGATGTTTTGTCAACCGTAGTGTACTTCATTGGTATTAAAGCACAACCTTTAATTTATAGAAGGTGGTATAAAGGCTGTCTTGGACTTTTTTTTCTAGGGTTCGCGGCCATCCGCACTACTGTGGAGCGACTCTTCAAGAAAAATACCGCGAGATTTGCCACGCATTCCGTGCGACCTCCAACCAAGGTAGTTAAACCAAAAATCAGGTTGAAATGTTGTCTCGATCTCTCACCTGTGGTGTAGCCAGGAGAGAAAGGATAATCTCCCCGGGAAGGATGGCTTCCCCTCTTGCCTCCTCTGAGACGAGCCTGGTTACGTAACTGTGTCTCAGGAACCTTCTGTCAAAAAAACCCCCAAAAAACAAAAAACAAAAAGAACAACAAAACCAAGAAAGCCGCTAATTTCAGACTAATTCAATTTCAGCATTGAGACCCCCCTCTAATTTCTCACCAAGGATTTTTCAAAAAAAAGCGATTGCATAATGTAAGACCTCGTAAAGCACTGCTTGTTACGATGCTGTTACATAACCGCTCCTCTTCAAAGCTTGCAGAAACTGAAAACTGAAATGCAGAATGGTGATTTTCATGCCATTTCGATCTTTTCTGATTTCACGCCTATTGTTCCAATTTATCGGAGTTAGGAGTCCCACCATGTCTCTGTCGACAGACTGTTCACATCATGCAGAAGAAGGCTGCAGAACAACGTTTTTGCTAATTTAAGGGCCCTCTCATTTCTCCTCAATCTGCTGTTTGAAGAATTTTTTTTTAAGTTGGGCTAATAAAGAAATACAAGACGTATAGAGTTATTTGTAGTTAACTTGAACAAAATCAACATTCAACTTTTTCCCCTGTCACTCATGCTGCAGAGTTTCTGGATTCAAAGGACGCCAACACATTCTTGTTTGGACGTGGTATCGGGAAGCGAAACCTTAACGAGGAATGCTGCGGTGAGGGATGCTCCGACGAGGAAATTTATGAACTCTGCTAAAGGAGAAACCAAAGTGAACCCAGCTGACTTCTTGCCATGGGCGTATTCAGCTTTAAAACAAATAATGTTTGCTCTCTCATACTGAAATATGATTAGTGTCGGTTTTCTTCATTGAATAATGAATATAAAATGGCATTTGCTTCCCTTTTGACATGTCGTTGAACATTCAGTACGTAGCTCCTATTTCTCTCTCTACCTCCCATTTTGGGGGGAGTCGATTCAGCCCCAAAGTGTCAGCTGTCTCAAAACACACCTTTGGACCTTGACATGCACAGCAAAAAAAAGGCAAGTTTTGATCCAACCGAATGGATCCAACTTCTCTCCTAGCGGACAATTAATGGATGGTCATCGCACTGATCACCCCTTCAGGTTCCTCAAGGTTGAAACGAAGTATTAAACGACGTAACAGCTTATCTTTCAAACTAAAACATCTTTCCCATTCAGGCAACTATGTACTTGTACGCGAGACTGTTCTTTATTTTGATGAAAAGTCTTCTGATCAAGCAATTAAAAAATAAAACGAGAATGACTCTTGCCTGTAATATGCTTTTGGGTAATCTGACGAATGCGATAAACCACCAAACTATAGCAAAAAAGGTTTCCATGGCAATCCATGCTTATGCATTATTGGCAATTCTCCTTTAGGAGTTATGCCTTAATTTAAATTAGCAAAACTAACTACAAAGGGCCTACTTTATGATTATCTCGCCCTCACAGCTGTTCTTCCTGTTTGCTATTTTATCTTTTCCATCAGCACAACCGTGACTTGAGTCAGCATGAAAGATTAAAGTTTACTTGCAAAGCAGTCAATTTGTAAAATGTGTGATAATTTTTAAAACATATAGCTCCTGGACATTGCAGAACGAACAGCTAATAAGCTTGACCAGAGCGGCGAGGGACACTGGGGTGTCTCGCTCGGCTAGCGGTGACAGGCCACTATGATGGTACAACTCGCTCTACCGGGCAGGTTTGCATCACACGCGGTCCTAGCTAAGTTAGCTGTGTGTTCACATGGTTACCTACGCACTTCACCATAAGAATGAGTAAAATATGGGGGCGTTAGAATTTTAGAGGTTTGTGGGTGCGCAACACTACATGTCCCTATGCAAACTGAGGACAGATTCTTCTTCAAGCGGACAGTGTGGTCTTATTGACACAATTCCCCCGGTTTCTTGAGCGGTAGGTCGGTTACGAGGAACTTTGCACTATTAAACGTGAATATCGTCTTACAACATTTCACATAAACCCGCTTTAGTTACCATGGAAAAAACTTCCTGCGTCAGCGACTTCTTGAAAAACGAGTCTCTCGACCTATACCAGCTGGGTTTCAACTACATCTGCTCCACGAGCACTTGTGGGCTCGTGCTGGCGCCGTATGCCGGTGTAGACGGGAAATCTGTCCCCCAGTAAAATTGTCCGCTGGGACAGAATTACCACATAAAAGTGTCACCTTGGTCCGGTAAATCAGTCCCCCTCAAACTTATTCTGCCCCCTCGGTTATTTTGTTCCCCCTCGTTTTGCCACATAGAAGTTGTCATTTTCGTGCTGGGTTGATGAATTCAGTCCACATAAATACAGTTAGATTATTTTAGCCATTCATCAAGTTTTCAAATTGGGGATGGGGATACGATATGTAAAATTAACCAAGCTATGTTTCTTCACGAAATCGGACATGGTAGCAATCCATATTTTGCACACTTCTTGCAAGAGTAGTAATTACTCTCAGTTCTGGCGCGGGTGGCGCAGGGAGGTACGTTAGCCTTGGTCAAGGCGTTCATCATTCGTCACAGCTCAGTTCAGCGAGCACCAGCCGCTAAAAATCAAAGTTAAGAGCGACCTCACGCGGTCTAAGAAATATGCAAATCAGCGGAACCACGACGAACGCCTTGTTGCAACCGTTCGCTGAAGCTTATATTTTTCTTTACTTTTCGCTAGAATTCTAGTGCACGACCTCGTATGCGAATATGAATAGGTGCAGGCGTGTGATGAGTGCACAGTGACCGATCTCAGCTAAGTACACATAAAGGGCTCATGCATAATGCATCAAAGTGAACTAGTATGCAAGATAATAATGTAAAATGGCGGACCTTCCAAGACCACTGCAGCACGACGAGTTGTCTTGTTTCTTGAATTCCGCTGAAAATAAATTAATGTTGGGTGATTTTCGTGCAGCAGTAAGCCTTACTTTCTGCGGGGTTACGACTTTTCGTGAATTTGCCAACAGACAACAAGGAAGTCTGTTATTTTTCAGGCTGAACCTTTCTGCTCGGAGCTCCAGTCAGACCAGATGTAAAGCCCATAGCGTTAGTCAAGTTGTGACAATTGTCTTTTAATTTGTCAAAGCAAAACTGAAGGTTGCCGACCAAGTCTGTATTGTAACTGATGAAGCCAGATAGCGTTGTCCACTAATTTAAATCGTTGGAAAAAATCAATACGCATTCGATCTCCGATTACTCTGATCAGCTGGCAAAATTTATACTTTTGACTTGTCATGTACATGTATTGCCACACGTGCGCTCAGTTAACCTTGCATCCTACGACCAACTTGAATTATACACTTACTAATGTGATCCAATCCAAAAGCATATTTAAAACACCGGGTCTTTTCATTAGCATAATGAGCACCGCCCAATACAACTTCCGCGGACGGTCCGGTTGCACCAAGGCGTTCGCCCTGGTTCAGCTGATTTGCATATTTCGTAGACCGCATGAGGTCGCTCTTCGCCTTGATTTCGAGCGCAAGGTGCGCTCTGCGACGAATGACGAAAGCCTCTACCAAGGCTAGGGGTACGGAGGCCAGTCAATGCCAATTTTAACTCAGCAAAAATATATTTTAAAAAGCGAAATAGCGCAATAATATGCTGCAAAATAACGCACTACGTTTGCGAAATAACGCGGTAGTTTGGTGATGTTATGATTGTTGCGCCCTCTCGTGTTTTGTCTCACCGCGCACGCACCGCTCGCCGAAATCACATGCCGTGGCATTCTGCATGCGTTCACGGGTTCCTGCTGCGTACAGGAGTATACACCTTTCTAGTGAGAGTATACTTTCGATGCCCCGCAGGCTGTATTCAAGCCGTTTGAGCGCTCAGGAGTATACTCGTATTAACAGGAGTAGCTCGCTCGAACGCACCCCAAGTTCGTCTGCTCCAGTATAAAAAGAGCAATATCAACAATGGATGACTTCACAGTTAAAAAATTATGTTAGATAACAGTAGATTCTATTGTAAATTGGCATTAAAGAAGTTGATGTTTTTGGACAGCACACTCTACTGTCAATTTTCTCTGGTTAAAAACAGGTGATTCTATAAAAAAATTAATTCCTACGTACTGGCACGGATTACCATTTCGTAAGTACAGATTACTACTTTTATTACATACGGATTATTACTTTATACGCACGGTTTTGCGAATAATGATCCTATATTGGCACTGATCGCATTCAAAATTCCGTCTTGAGCAGAAGCACCCCCTCATCGCGAAGAGCCATGCTGTTGGGGAGTTTTTTTGGTAGGGCCGGACGCGTACACAACGTATGTATCTCATTGTCATTGGAGAATCAGCAAAGTGGAGTTCCTACCCAGGGCCTCTGTTGCTAGGAAATCGCACCCTCTCTTGGTCCTGCTCGGGCCCAATGAACTGAAGTTTAGTCATGCAATGCAATATGTGGATTAATAATCCATAAATACTGCTTGGTAATCTGTACGTACGATCGAAACAGTAATTAATTTTTTTCTTACCATGTCTTAAATAGACTTCATAAGAATCTCCTGTTAGTAAACAGAGAAAACCTCACAGTAGAGTATGCTATCCAAAAAAATAGTTCTGTAATGCCTATTGACAACAGAATCTACTTTTATTTAAAACACACATTTTTAACAGTGTTGTTCTTTCTAGTGGACAATCCGTAATACGCCAAACATCGTTTTAGGGTCGTCGGGTGCCCCACTTGGGGTTGAGCTAAGTATGTTTTGTTGAGACGCATTTGGAAGGAAAAGAAAATGAAATAACTAATATAAGTACTGCATTGAACACAGTCGAGCTTGAACACAAGGAACGCGCAACTGTAATACAAACGCTTTGCTGGTCCACATGAGGGCAATTTACTTCTTCAAAATCTGGCCTTCTGTAACTTGGACTTCATTATCTTTACAGCAGAGAAGGGGACAACATCTGCTCAATCGATGACAGCATTATCAACACTGAAGGTAGAATATCTCTGAACATTTTACACTATTTTGTCCCGTGCAGAGCTCACTATTTCTGAGTACCGTATTCATGCACTGGAGCTATCCTTAAATATCGGTGATATCACAGCCAAAATGTTCAGTTAGGTTTGCCAATTAGAGAAGGTGTATAAGTACCCACTTTTGAATTGTATAATTATGCTATACGTGTGTTATTCTGCGCGAGAAAATTTTTGTGGGCTCTGCAGTATCATCTGAAGACGTCCACTCGTCATTTTTATTTTAGACGTATTGAATATTCATGAGTGTACTACCATATTTGGAAATGGTGTTTCTATTAATGGTATAGTTAGTAGTGCGTGCATTCTTTGTTTTTAGGTTGCTGAACTTGTCACTTTTGTCGGAAGCAGTACTTAAGTAGGTGGTAGGCCGGTTCTGGACCACCTGTTTCCTTGGATGCCTACACAAGCCCCCTTCGGTGGTTAAAAATTGAAAAATTATCATCAGATTTAAAAGTTCTACTAAATTGAGAAATATTCTCAAATTAAAACCAAAAATTTGTGATGCCACAAAGAAGACGAAGGCGAAGACAAGAATCAAAACCAGGACCTCAACCTAAAAATTATTTCTCTTAAAGTTGCACCCAGGGTCAAGAATGTTTTGCGTGTCACTTTTGTCAGACATGCTTTATTTTTGGAACGGCTAGAAAGCCCCCTATTGTTAGATCAAAATTATCTCTAGATTTATGGGTGATAACAACAAACACGATCACCGAAAACATTTCTTTTTTTGGGGGGGGGGCGGCAGAGACTAGACGACCACAAAAAAGACTGCCAAGGAATAGGTTTCGCTCCTTACAAAGTCGTACTCCCCGAAAAAGGTAAAAAATTCTCAAATTAGAGAACCACAAAAACAAACAAGATGCCCCATTCGTCATCTATGCGGACTTCGAGTCAGTTTTAGAGCCTCTTCTGCCTGAAGGGGCCAATACAATCGGAACCCAACATCACCAAACATGGGGTTATTCTTACGCACTCGTGCGTTGAGACGGTGTCTGAACGAGTCGGGAAACCTTTCGAGGACAAGACGCCGCAACTCATTTTATAGAGTCTCTCGCGAGAAAAAGAAACGATTAACGATACGTTAGCCAAACCAAAACCACTCGTTTGGACGTCTGAGCTACTAAGCCAGCACGATTCGCGCAACAGATGCAGGATCTGCGAGAAGCGTAGATACCCAACAAAACAATCACAGTGTCGATGCCCTACCCCACAAAGACCAAAAACTAGATCCCAAAAGATAGAATTTAGTTTTAAAGACGACCGCGGCTACACCGCCTACATCTGCATGAGCTGTACCAAACCCATCAACAAGTTTAGAAAAGTCAGAGAACATTGTCACGTCACAGGCAAATATCGCGGCCCAGCCCATGCCAACTGTAATCTCAAACTCCGAGTCATGCCTAAGTATACTTCCATCCGGTTGCACAACTTGGAAAATATGACGCGCATCTAATCATGCAAGGTGCTCGTGCATTCAACGGGAGCCGGTTCAAGATAGTTTACGGTTAAAATTGCTCCAGATACGATTTTAAATTACTCTGTGAAAGGTTTAAACATCGTGTTGATTTTCTATTCGACAAGGGTATCTACTAGTTGGCTGCCTCGAGATGCGTTTTACATGCGCTCAAACAGAAAACCCAAACAGAAGAAGAATATAACCGAGCCCAAAACGCGCTGTTAGAACACTCTACCGTTCAACCCGCTACCGTTCAACTCGAGCTTCTAACGGGCAGCGACGAATATCTGTTTTTATGAACGGGATAAAGGTGGAATATCAAGAGTTGGAACCGACGTCATACAGACTTTACTTTCGCCTCGTTCTACTACCGGCTATATGTTCGAAGTAACGCTCGATTAGCCTCGGTACTTACACGATCTCCACAACGATTTCCCTCTGGCACCCAAAAACATTTTGATTCTAAACGAAAGGATGTCGGGTTATCAAAAGGGCTTGATTAACACAACAGAGAAAACTCTTCCGCAGACAAACTCATGGCAACGCTTTTGACCAAACGCAAATACGTCGTTTACTATTGTACGTTGCAAAAATATCTTGTTTTACAGTTTAAAAGGGTTCACCGCATGATATCTTTCGAGCAAGCACCTTGGATGCAAAGCTACATCGACAAAAACACCGAGTTGCGCAAACGTGGCACTTCAGAGTTTGAAAAGAGAATTTTTAAACTGATGAATAACTAGGTGTTTGGTAAAACGATGGAAAATGTGATAGATCGAATCAACGGTTATCTACTGGGAGACAAACAAGATGCACAGCAAAACAAACGCTTGGTTTTATTATGCGATTACAAATCGACCACCTCGTTCCCAGGGTGTGACCTATCATTCGTCGAAACGTATCGTGTAAAAACCTTTTTCGACAAACCAATCTACTGCGGCGTGAGCGTGCTCGATCAGTCTAAAACGTTAATGTACTATTTCTATTACAATACATGAAGAGCAGACTTTGGAGATGAGGTTTGTCTCTTGTATGCAGACACCGATAGTTTACTAGTTCAGATTCAAACTGATGATGTCAATCGATACCTACGCAAAAAACGTGACTTCTGAGACTTTTCAAACCAACCAACGGATCATCCACTCTATGACTTCTCAACAAAAAAGTCATCGGGAAGATGAAAGACGAATTTGGTGACAAATTCATTTCGGAAGTCGTCTGCCTGCGCCCTAAAATGTATTTGATCATACTCGAAGACGACACAAAGCTCAAGAAGGCCAAAGGGGTAACCAGAGTCGTGACTAAGAAGCAACTATGACACGAGGCTTACAAAAAAGTGTTGTAGACGTTTTTACAGAACACACACCATCGCTTATACCATCGTTCAAAACAAACTGATCCTTTCGCCTTTAGACACAATAGGCCTACGCTACATTTTGCCAAATGGCATCGACACATTAGCCTACGGTCACTGTCAAATGGCAGAAGACGGTATTCTTCTGAAGTACTTGTCTGATCGGGTTCAAATCTTGCCAATATCTCGAAAAGGGAGTGCTCTAGAGGAATATTGACCTTATCTGATGATGACGTCATCAAGAGACTAGTGACGCGACATTAAAGGCGCACTCTTTAATGCCCAATATCTCATGAAGCAGATGTCCTATTGGGTTGAAATCTTGCAGATATCTTGAAAATAGAGTGCTTCAAAGGAATGTTGACCTTATGCGATAACAACGTCATTAGGAGACGAGTCACGTGACATTAAAGGCGCATTCTAGTTTGAGTGGCAGTGTGGTCGGTACATACTGCTAGCCCCGTCCAGCAGTTGCTCGTCACCGTGGTGGCCCCAAACAGCTCCCACTACGGCCCAATGGGTCGAGTTGTGCGATGCAATACACCCGTATGGTGCCCACTACGTTTGAGTGGAATTTCCAATTGTTGCAGCAGTGCCGCGATTTCACGGCA